TCAATTTCTATCTAAGGCCTCAATTGTATCTATTTTTGCCTCCCAATACACATTATTATGTACTTCTTATATACTTTAATATAAAATTTTATTCCAACTTTTATTTATTAATTCTTACACACTGAGTTTGATAATATCTCCATAAAAAGTAATAGACAAAGTATTATCTTTCTCTTGTAAAAATATCCACTTTATAAAATACAAGCACATTATCATAGCTATGGACAAGGATTAACTTACAGAGAACAAGCAGTTTTACCGACAAAACCTTTATGTGTAGGTTAGATATAGATATTTTTTGGACATAAGAGAGCAAGCACAATTTTTTAGTAGCTATGAGTTTGACAGGACAATTTCAGTTTTCCGGTCCAGAAATATCCTTTAATTAACAATGTTCTCGTCTTCACTTAATACATTAATTTAAATTTTTAATCTAGTTATTTAATCGCTCGGAATATATTTGCATCCTAATACTATGCTAGTGTGGTTCAGTATATTATGTTGTTGCTCGTTTTCTGATGTTTTTTAGATTCCATTGAAGTGTTTGGGTTTCGGATTTTTCTTCTATTTGGTTCTCAGGATATTGTTTAATTCTGGTCTCTCTCGTATTTAGTAAACCTTGTTAATTTTCTCTGTGATCCGCGCGCCATTTATTGAAATTAATCTTTCTTTCATCCGTCTCTCGCCATGTCATTTTGTTATTGGGTTGAATATACACGTATTCAGATTTCTTATTGTTTCCATTAAATTGCCATGAAAAAAGAAATGTATCTTGGCATCTTTGGCATATGTTTTCAACATCACAATAACCGTTTAAAATGTTACAATGTCAGAAGGTTTACTGTTGTTTAAGTATTGATTAATAATTGATGTAAAGTGGTCTTTAAGTATTTGGAAAAGTTGATAGACCATGAAACTTTACTATCACACAATAATAAATTCACAGCAGTAATTAAATAAATACCCACAGCAGTACAATGATAATTAAATAATTTAAAAAGGAATATTAAAAATGGTAGGGACAGGCAAAAGTTTACCAGTGGGGCTTTTTAAACAGGTTAAAAGTGTGTTAGCACGCATTTAGAAAAAAATACTGTGTATTTTAGTCATGATTCAGAAAGAAAAGAAATTGATATATGGTGGATCCGTTGTTAAGTGGAGACAACGATTTTAAGAATTCCATTATGAGCAGCTGGCAAGGCCCACAAACAACACACACATAACACAAAAAGCTATTTGTTGAATATTCTATTTTATTTTATAATTAATTACAGATGTTTAAATTTTTATCTCCTGTCTCTTCATTAATATTTAAACAGGTTTTTAAGTTGGCTTTACTATCTGTGCATGCTTAATATGAGAGAATAGATAGACATCTTGTTTAATTTTTCTTCCCTTTTGCCAGTTGTGAAGTGTGGTTGCACCTGGTCTCAATGACTATTGTTCTGTGTTTTATAATTGCCCTCTCTGCACAGGAAAAGTTGCTTGTCGCTACTTTTAATGG